CTTCTCCATTTTGGGTCAGTTGTCAGAACCCATACCTCATTCTTTCCAGGCCTGCTGTGCTTCTCACACAGCAGTAGTTCCAGGGATGCCTTTTATCCTGGACAAGCAGTTAACAAAAAAGCTTACTGTCTGTCTTGGGTTTAGCTCCCACCCACGTTTCCTACCTTGTTCTCTTCTATAAAAGGTCTCTTGAAGGAAATGAAATTTATTCACCTGAATCTTTAGGTTGCTCGAGACAACCAGAGAGCAAAGTCAGAATGTGCAGAAGTAACCGACCCACAGAACAAGTTGCTCTGTCATGTAGCAACAGCTGGGAGGGGCTTGTTTTACACCAGGACACATCAACTCCAACTTGCCGAAGCAGTTGTTCATTTGCCTTAGTCTCTCTCTCTCTTCTCTCTCCTCTCAACACCCCCCGGCCCCGAATTTTCTTTAGCGTGTTTGTGGCTATGCCTGCATGAGTAGGAAGCCCAGGCCACTCTCAATGGATTTGTTTCCTGAAAACAGCTGGTAGGGAAGTCCCAGTAACAAGGTTTCAGACACTTGTTTGTCACAGCAGCTCTAGTATTTTGTCCCACCACCTGGGTTAGATGAAAGAGGTATGACTCTGAAGCTCATGTTCCAGTCTGTCACCAAACCCCAGTCCATTTCACCTATTCAGACTGCTCCACAATGCAAAGCAGGAAAGAATTAGCAGAGGCAATTAGATCAGCAATGTGCTTTTGAAGTAAATGTTCCAAACCAAAGTGCTAATTTATGTGCTTCCAGATCCCCTACAAAAACGATGCTCTTCAGACCAAGTTCACTCTAGGGAAGTGATATTTGCAAGCTAGAGCGAGGTTCCTCATTATGGAAAGAAGAGCTTGCTCAAGTGGCATCGTGTATTTGCAATCAAAAATACAAAAAGCAGGCAAGCAGAGCAGCTTTCCGCTTCTGTCATAGAAAAAACGTCAACTGGTTGAAGCTGCAAGTATTCTACTTTATCTGGCTTACCAGAAGGCCACAACTTTACACAAATGTGTGTTGAAAAGCCCAGTCTTGGGGGAAAAAAAACATACGAGCTTAAGCTAAGTAGCTGCTAACAATAGTGTGGTATTGCTCCTGGGTAGGCAGGATGTGCCACCGAACTATTTCAGGAAGAATCCTATTCCCTTGCCATCACAGCAGTCCAGGTTTTAAAGCCCGCTTCCACCCTGACCAAGTAATTCATTAAGCCCAGACAGTCCTTTCTGACCTTTGCTCCTCTCTCAGCAGGATGATCTGACGAAAAGTCACGCACCTGCCAAGCCTTCGTTTGCGCCGAGGTGCTTCCTGGGCAGCGGGGAGTACAGAAGGAAGCACTTGGGGGTTAAGCCTTTGGTACTCCTATGAGTACCAGCCACTTCCCAGCGCTCATCCTTCCGCGCTAAGATTTCAGGCCAAGTAACTCGCTTCCATCAAAGTATTGAGAGTCAGTTCACTGGTCAAGTTGTAAAGGACTGTCAGTCTGAAAGTGTTTATTTCTTACTCAATACATTACATAAGTTAAAACACTTAAGTTACTACTACAGCATAGGTAACCACACTTCCTAGTACGCATCAAAAGCCCTAAGCAGTCGGTACAAAGATGCATCCCATAACCCTGCCTAAAGCAGCACAAACTCAAGTCCAGGGTCCAGATTTACCTGGACAGGCAGCTGTTGGGAATGCTGCTCATGCCTTCATAGCCTACCTTGCACATCTCGCGAACGCGTTCGAAGTGGATTTTTCAGGGTGCCAAACGATCTCCTAAGGGTGATGGCAGAGATGGGCGGCTCACGCAGTCGAACCAGGTTTGACAGGGGATTTACAGAGCTCTGCGCTTGAGGTCTTCTTCTGGAGAAGGGGTGAAGTTGAGGGGCTCTGTGAGTAATCTAAGCAGGTTTGCCATTCAAAAAGGAGCTTCCAAAATCCCATTAATGGTATCCCCACCACTGATGAACAGTTTGATCTTCGTGTTCAGTCACTAGGGTCCTGTTACCGCATTCTTCCCAGCGTCTGACCTTCCCATTCTCCACCAAGATAAACTTCCACTCTACTTTGGTGTCTACTGGCAGAATAACGGATTCGGACCAGAAGCCATCCTTGTCGTGCTTGAGGGGAACATAGCTGTGCCACTCGCCGAGACACTCGTGGTCACCAGTAACACCAATCAGCTGAGCCTCGGAGTGCGTGATGTAGTGCACGCGGAAAGTCACATGGATATTCTGGAACATTGGGGGAACGGCTGCAACTCTCTTGGCTTTTGAGTCCCCATCAGGGCAGTCTCCTTGTTCCCATTCCTTGCTGTCCGAGTCTTCCGCGCTGCCATTCTTGCCAGCCTCCCCCCAGGCCAGGTGCTCAGAAACGACTTCCCACTCTTCATGGTCTAAGTCCCTACTCTCAGCTGGCGGACCTGGCTGCTCCTTGCTTCCATCCTTACAAACATCATCAGAGGCTCCTGCCAAGTTCATCACGCACCATCCATCACTTGCCTGTCCCACCTGGGGTCTCAAATCACCTGCCTGGCTGCCCGGCGTATCGGCTGGATGCTCCCTGGAGTCAGTGGCACCCTGTTTGGGGAGCAGCTGCTCCACCTCCAGAGGTTCCCTTGGAATTCCATGACTCTGAACGTGGTTAAGCTCGCTCTTGGACAGAGCTGCCAGATCCTCTCCTGGCTTCTGAGGGCTGGTCAGGGCAGCAGTCTTGGCCTCCAGCAGCACTCGCTCACCGCTCGCCAGAATATCCTCTAAAAACGACATTCCATGAAAACACGAACGGGTTAAGCGACGCGGTTAAGCCCACCAGCGGCAAACCCGGGCACACCGAGACCCGCGGACCGCCG